TTCAAAGTGCAGAGAGCATCATGAAGACCAAGGAACACACCAGGCAGGTCCGAGATACTGTTGTGGAGAAGTTTAAAGCTGGATTTGGAAACAAAAAGATTTCCCAAGCTTTAAACATCCCAAGGAGCACTGTGCAAGCAATCATATTGAAATGGAAGGAGTATCAGACCACTGCAAATCTACCAAGACCCGGCCGTCCCTCTAAACTTTCATCTCGAACAAGGAGAAGACTGATCAGAGATGCCGTCAAGAGGCCCATGATCACTCTGGATGAACTGCAGAGATCTACAGCTGAGGTGGGAGAGTCTGTCCATAGGACAACAATCAGTCGTACACTGCACAAATCTGGCCTTTATGGAAGAGTGGCAAGAAGAAAGCCATTTCTCAAAGATATCCATAAAAAGTGTTGTTTAAAGTTTGCCACAAGCACCTGGGAGACACACCAAACATGTGGAAGAAGGTGCTCTGGTCACATGAAACCAAAATCGAACTGTTTGGACACAATGCAAAACGATATGTTTGGCGTAAAAGCAACACAGCTCATCACCCTGAACACACCATCCCCACTGTCAAACATGGTGGTGGCAGCATCATGGTTTGGGCCTGCTTTTTGTCAGCAGGGACAGGGAAGATGGTCAGAATTGATGGGAAGATGGATGGGGCCAAATACAGGACCATTCTGGAAGAAAACCTGTTTGAGTCTGCAAGAGACCTGAGACAAGACGGAGATTTATCTTCCAACAAGACAATGATCCAAAACATAAAGCCAAATCTACAATGGAATGGTTCACAAATAAACGTATCCAGGTGTTGGAATGACCAAGTCAAAGTCCAGACCTGAATCCAATCGAGAATCTGTGGAAAGAGCTGAAGACTGCTGTTCACAAACGCTCTCCATCCAACCTCACTGAGCTCGAGCTGTTTTACAAGAAAGAATGGGCAAGAATTTCAGTGTCTCCATGTGTAAAACTGATAGAGACATACCCCAAGAGACTTGCAGCTGGAACTGCAGCAAAAGGCGGCGCTTCAAAGTATTAACACAAGGGGGCCGAATAATATTGCACGCCACACTTTCCAGTTTTTTATTTGTTAAAAAAGTTTGACACATCCAATAAATTTCATTCCACTTCACGATTGTGTCCCACTTGTTGTTGATTCTTCACAAAAATTTTTAAATTTTATATCTTTATGTTTGAAGCATGAAATGTGGCAAAAGGTTGAAACGTTCAAGGGGGCTGAATACTTTCACAAGGCACCGTACAAGCACAATATTAGCAGTTGAATATGCATTCCCAAATGATTTTGTTTTCATTGTTCATTTGGTACTAAACAGAGCAGCATCACTTGTAAGTGAAGATTAGTGTGGGTGAATTATGGGGTTATTGTTGGGGAAAAAGCTCCCATCAAGAACTTGTTTAGTTGGAAACACCCTTCTAGTTACACTCACACAGACACACACACACACAAAACTAGTATGGCATTCTTTGAAAGTGAGTGTTGCTATAAATCACTGCTATATTTGTACCATTATGGGAACATTAGCACTGATATCATTACAGTATAAAGACAAACGTTTCCATGTATTTAACTTGAATAAACTGAAGTTAAGCTTTTTAAAAAAAAAAAAAAAGGAAACCAAGCAGTGATGCAAAAATAAATGACCTTAAATTTATTTGACCAACCCTCTGATGATGTTTATATGTGTGGGGCAGTGGGATAATGTAAAGAAAATGAAGTGAAAGCTTTTGTAAAGCTCACAAAAAAACTTCCACAATTGGTCGTCTTTGAATTTGACTGAATATGTGTATCCATGTTAAAACAGAAGTGATGCAAATTATCAGCAGATTAAACTGTAAAGGGTAGAGGAACTGACAACAGGGGAAGTTTTGTTTCTCTAATAGGGGTCATCTCACTTGTTGTGCATTGGCCAAGCGTTGAAGAAGTAAGTGGAAGTGTCAGTGCATCATAAGCTTTCATTTTATTACAGTATAGTCAGGGCAGACTCTTTAAAAATTACTATTCCTTTAAGAAAGGCATATCGCCTATTGCTTTTCAACTCCGATTTAGACTAAGATCCTCTGATGATGAGATGAGAAGAGACAGAGTTAACACTGTTTAGGTCAAATTGTAACTTACGTTATGCATGCTCCCATGCAATATTGTGATATCTTGCAAATGTGTTGATGTGTTAGAGAATGTGTTGAGGATGACTCTCAGCAGCTACCACACCAAACTTAAAAGGTAATTATACCAAATGATTATTTGTGAGTTATGTGAGTTTTTTCAAATCCATCCAGTTATCCATGAGATTTTTGTTAACAGACGCAGAGTTGACTCCAATAGTTAGTGAAGTTGTAAAAGCAGGTTTTGCTAAATCATTTATCACTCAGACTATCTGTTGGGGATGACTCCCAGCAACCACCTCACCAGATTGTAGCTCAGTGTCTGTAAAATTAGCTGAGTTGCCTCTTTTGTGTGCAGTAAGGTTGCTTAGCTGTGGCGGCCATCTTGAATGGAGTTGATTTTAAAAAATTATAGTCAGGTTGTAAATATAGGCCAGTGCATGGATGTAGGTTTCGGCTATACTCCACCTTGAAATAAAAGTCTGGAACGGTGTTGAAGCAGAGCAACCCTACTCAAGCAAGATGGTAAATACCACAGCCCAATATGGTGGACTCTAAGACCCACAGCAAATATATGACAAGAATTCAAGGGAACAGATCTTTCTGGACATTGTGTCTGAGATGCCATTATATGGGCATGATCATGCTTCAAACAAGAAATGATTACTTTGTGAGAGTTCCTCTGAAACCTGTCAAGTGGATCATGAAAAGTATTGCTAACACCACAGATATGAACGTGCAGCCACTAAAAACATTTAGCTTATCCCCTTCAGTGGTTGGCGGTGATGTGTACAGTTGTCACTGATAATAATGTGAGCGTAATCTGCCTCATAGTTTTGTCCTTCAATAGTGTAAAACTTTTAGCCTTCACTTGGATTGATTGGGTTTTTTTCTTTCTCCCTCTTTGGTAAACTAAAAATAGACACATTATCAGCCTGTTTTAATCGCTGTGTGTCTGTTTTGGGGGGTGTTAAGCTTGTCTTAATGAGCCAGGTCAGAGTGTCATGATCTAGTCGAATGGTTGCGTGTTCGTGACGCACCTGCAGCTGTCTCGGAGGAGCTCTCATCCTATCGCAGAGGACAGATTGAAGACGCGGTGAAGGAGGCGCTGTCGTCTTAGTGCGGCTCACCTGGGCTCTGCCAGGCCAGGAAAGCTGGGCCACGTGTTTGCTGTGCTGCCTCTCCCTTCCACAAATTTGGTTTCAGTTAATTGTGTTCACACCTTTTGACACTTGCACTGGCACAGCCATTCACCACCCACATTGCTGGTATTGTTGATTTTTATACGTAGTTGTCCTAATTGGAGTAAAATCTGTTGTATGATCTCACTGATCCCAATCTTTGAGCTTATTTTTGACGAATAGTTTGGAGGAACCTTAAGCTACAAGTAAATTACAAAGTTCTTTGCTTGTGCTACAGTTGTTAACTGTTATAAGATGAACCTTCATGTACATTTGCAATTAAAAAAAACAACAAAAAACAGATTTGCATCAATTTTTTTTATAAAATTTACTGTCCTGGAGGTGAGACTAATTAGCCACTTCAGCCAAAGGTGTTAATGTATGCTCATTACACAGAAACAGAAAACACTTTCACTGATAGAAGGCAGTTGCTTTAATTTTACAAGGACTACATAGAAATAAGTCTTATTTCTGAAACAAAACGATGAAAGCCTGACTTTTAAAAACCAGAGTGAACAATGGGAACATTGGTCAGTTTTGACAGGTTGTGACCTTAAGCCTGCCTGCAATGTGTTCACGGAGACTTGCTAATTGTACAACCATAGTTAAAGTTTTGTAAATGAAGGTTTAATGAATAAGCCTTTTTTGTTGGCACTCTTTCTTTTTGCTGTCTGAGATGGATATTACAGATAAGAGGTAATTTATTCTTCTCAGTGTTTGTAAAAAGAAAACAACTAGTTATTTTTTTAATTTTCTTTTATCTCCTTTCACTCTTAGTACGTTCATTAAACCTGTACTCTCCTTGTGTCTTGTCTTTACATTATTTAGTTGTTCAGTTTGTGTTTAGTGGAATATCTAGCATCTTATGCCAGTTAGTTATCCACGCACATCTCACACCAGCAATAACCACAGAAAACCGAATGGGAGCATGCCATTTTTGGGTCACACGTTTTGTTCTTCTGTACAGATCATGTTATCTGTCCTCATCACGGCTTTAAATTACAGTCTTTGTTGTGACTAGTGTCAGATAACATTCAAGATGTTATTTAGAAACTATGTTGAATGAATAAAATACAAATTGTTTTAGTGGATTTTACACACATTTGGTTCATCTTGGAGCTCGTGTACTAGAAATAAACCTACAGTTCACGTCAGCATGACATTTTTATTATGCTGTGTGTAAAATATTAAACCAGTTTGTGCTTTGTTTGAATTTTTTTTTACAGGCATCTGTGTTTTGAACAGATTTTCTTTTTGAAAACTTAACGCTGAGACTCGGGCTTGAAGCAACAGCACTGTTTTTGTGTGTGGATGCATTACCAGTAATTGAACAGCGAAAATCGGTCTCCTAAATGTGACAGAACCATTCAAAACATCTGCAGGGTAAAAAGTTGCAGGAACTTGTTCAACACATTCACTGTGAGAAATATGATATTTTTCTCTTTAAACTGCTTGTGTACTGAAGCTATTTGCAGTTATTAAAAAAGCCAAATATCACCTCTTCTGTGGTGTAATGTAAGGGTGCAACATCTGTGCATTGGTGTTGTAGGAGACTGTTTACTTGTTACAGTAGAGACTATATTGTCTAATAAAGTCTAGTTACAGTTTTCACCAAACAAGAGTCTCATAAAGGGATAAAATAAGTTTGTAAAATCTGTTTATGCTCAGATGTGTTTTTTTTTTTCTTCCCAGAGTTCCTCACTTCTTCAGCTTCTAAATGAGTGAATCAGGTTCACGCCGTTCCACACTTGTTTCCCGCCTGCCAATCTTCCGCCGCAGCGGCAGTAAGAGGCAGGAGTCTCTCCCCTCCTCTCCCTCCTCAGGCGGAGTGGGAAATGGCGTCCACACCTCGTCACCGTCCAGCACCAACTCCAGCTCTGGCAGCACAGGCAAACGCCGAAGCCTCTTCCGCACTCCGCATCTTGGCTTCGCAGCTAAGCGGAACAGTGATCCACGCGTCCAGCCCATCAACCTGAACCTCACGCCCACCCTGACGCAGACTACTGATGCCAATGGAAATAACCAGCAGACTATAACATCGTCAGTGTCAACTGGGTTCAGCGAGGGGGGCAGGCGTTCCAAGTCACGGCACTCATTTGGCTTTGGCAGCCACAAGCAGAAGAAAATCTCACGCTCTCAGACTGAAGACTTTGACAAGGCTTCCTCCTCCTCCTCCACCACAGCCAATCGAAATGTGTTTATCAACTGCATTAGCAACTCAGGAGCCAATGAAGGTGACGACTCTGGGTACCTGGACGACTACAGTGGAGGCAGTAATAACAACAGACGCTCGTCACACCAGAAGAAACATTTGCTGCCCAAGTCCTTTTCCGCTCACCACCGCTTCTCGCGCACATCTGATCACCACAGACCACCAGAAGTCAATCTGGAACCTTCGAGCTCCACCACCATCACTCCAGGGGCAGAAGGCGTCTCTCCAGGCTCATGGCCTGGTGAACTGATTGGTGCTGGTGCTGAGAGCTCCCTTCAGTCCCCTATGATATCAGAAGATCGAACTACAGCCGTCACTCCTTCAGAGTTCATTCCCATCACAGAGGATTCTGTATCTGAGGTGGATGCACTTCCAGCTCCCAGTCCTGGTGTAACCTCAGACCCTGTTTGTGTTGCTGGACCCGTCACTGATCCTGCTCCACCTGACCCCCCACCTGCACCAGAAAGCTTCAGTGTGGCCATTTCTGCTTCCCAGGTAGTATACTAGTTTCATCTAAGAATCTTTGATATCCAGTATACCGTATTTTTCGGACTATAAGGAGCACCGGATTAAAAGACTCGTTAAGCGAAACAAAACAGTCAGATAAGTTAAACTTTATTCAACTCATTCACAATAACCACATAAAATCAGTTTGAGGCCAGTAAGCACAACCAGAATTAATACATAAGGTGCATCTGATTATAAGGCTCACTGTTGATTTTTGAGAAAATTAAAGGATTTTAAGTGCACCTTATAGTCCGAAAAATAAGGTAGTCAAGTGTGTATTAGGTATAGGCTGGTAATGATGTTCTCACAATGAGAGAACCTTGAGCAAAAATACCTAACTTTTACAGTAGTAAAGCAAAAGTTTAAAATGCATCACATCATTTTATGCTTTTATAAAAAAAAACACAAAGATGATCCCACCTGGGCCTGTCATTCTATTTTGTACATTTCTCCTTCCTGTTCCTCTCAAACCCCAGCCGATCAATCAGATAGCTGCTCGTCCTGAGCCTGGTTCTGCTGGAGGTTTCTTCCTGCTAAAAGGGAGTTTTTCCTTTCCACTGTTGACTTTGTGCTTGCTCAGGATGGGAGACTGCAACGAAGTGAAAATTCAACACAATCTTTTACTAATCGTCTTTTATAATGTATGTGAATGTTTCTGTTCAGTGCCCTGAGACGACTTCTGTTGGGACTTGGCTCTATATAAATAAACTGAATATAATTACTATTTGGGTTTACTGTTTAAATAATATTACACAATGCTTAAAAAAGATCATTTGATAGGCAATAGCATAGTAATACTAAATATAACATTTACTTATATTTTTCATTTTCACAAACCGATATAAATCAGGAGAGAGAGAACACAAGTGAACATGATGACAGTCACCATTTAAAACATGCGTGGGCTTTTTCTATCAGAACAGATTTTAAATCAATTTGTTATCGAGAATAAAAGTGCTTTGTCTCTGGCATCATATAAAAAGGATTTTCAATGATAGGAATGGTGTGACAGAAAAACACAGTGGTTTTGACACCATGACATTGAAACCAGTAATTGGCCCATGCCTATTGTTCATACATTATAACTCGTACTTATTTAAAATAACAATCTCAATTGTCCTATCCTTTTTTCTTTCCTTCCAATCCTTTTCTGGAATGTCTTCAACTCTTAGAAAAGCTGAAATGATGTCAGAATGCCTATGATATCTATTTGTAATCTAAAATTTAAAGTAAAAGTTGAGAACTGAACTTTTTCCTTTTTTTTTTTTTTTGAAGGAGCTCAAGCTTGGAAAACATGTGTGCATGTCTGAAACCAGCATTAATATTTAAAAAAAACTTTTGAGCTCTCAAATACTACTCCAAAAATGTTCAGTTCTTTGAGTCACAAACAGAAACTTCAAAAACAAACTTCACAAGGCAAAGTGATGTTTTTTGGCTTGTGAAGAATAAATATCTTCTGATTTGCTCTGTGAAAATGTTGATCTACTCCTCTAATTAATATTTGTTGAAGCAAGAAATTCTCTCTAAACCCATCAGATAGCTACCAAAAAAGTTTTAAAATATAGTCAATCAAATATTCTCTTCTCAGGTTTTCTTCACTCCAGCCCAGTCGAGCACTGAGAAACCTTTACTCCCCGACGCCAGCACAGCCAACAACACAGACTATGAAACTGCTGTCTCCCTCTCTGAGCCAGAGACAGCTGTCCCCTGCCTGCCTCTGCAGGAACAATCACTGGAAGAGAGGAAGGAGAGGGAAGAAGAAAGACAGGAAGCAAAGAAAGAAGAATCTGCAGAGAAGAGGATGGAGTTGGTGCAAGAGAGGAAGTTGGGTTACCACACAGAAACCACAAGTGAGAGCGAAGCGTGTGGGGTTCGTAGTGAGGGCTGCCACTCAAACCCTGAGAAATCAGAACGGAGGACAAGACACACACTCTCTTTTCAGGAAAGAGGAAACTTCTGCGGCTGCCATGAACCGAGGTCCTCTCACTTGAGGAGACCACACGCAGGTAGAACACCCAAACAAATACTTGTCACTGAAACAGATTTATATGCAAAGTCACCGACACCCCCCGTGACCCAAAATGGAAGAAGCGGGTAAAAGATAATGGATGGATGGCTGGATGGATGAATGGGTGGATGGATGAATGGGTGGATGGATGAATGGGTCACTGACACTGACACTGACACAGCCAGGTTTACTATGTGTTGTAAGAGAGATTCAGAAACCCAAGTCTAAGTAGCTAATTTAGTTCTTTTCCTACTTGTGTGACGTTCCTGTGTGTGCAGCGTTAATCAAAGTGTAATGTCAGGCAGCATCTCTTCTGTCTGAAGGTAAACATTTGTTGTTATGACACTTTGTAATGATTAGCTTTACTACTTCAAATCTATAAAAGCACATCGGCCTTGAAAATACATCAGACTGTATTTATTATAAAACATTTGTTTAGTTGTGTTAGTGGTCCAAATTAAACTCACAAAACTTTTCAAGCAGTATTTATGACTATAAGGTTACTAGCATTAACACATGGAGAACAATACTACATTAATTACTTTTTTAAGTTTTGAATAAGAACGTTTACTGATGTTAAAATATGTATGCAGCTCAAATCAGGTTTAAAACTCTTAGAAGTTGCTCCATGAGCAAATATGATTTGTATTTGTTTTCTCTTATGAGAACACAAAACACTACATCAATTTTTACAGTATTTTGCAAGTTATTTGCCTCACATCCAACTTTGTTCATCAAACAGTGACTATTTTTTTTTTTTACCTGCAGTTCAAACAAAATCACATTTCACATTTAAAGAAGCTTAATATTTTTAAAGAAATATTTTCATTCATTTCCTGGTATATTTTTACTTCTAGAGATGCACAATATTGGATATTTGGCTGATATCCGATATGTCGATGTGTTAAAACTTATTTGGCCGATAACCGATACCAATATTGATATTTCTTCCCCCTAGACCTACTTACAGAGACTTCATAACTTTCTCTGCTGAGGAATTAAAATACTACATTATTCTGCATGGTCTTTGTCAGTTTGGCCTGCTACCAAATGTAGATGCCAAAAAGGGGGCTGAAAATGATGTAACACTTCAACTTGGATTATGTTTAATGCCAAATTCATGACATTTACTCTCTCTAACACAATGACAACACTCGAACAGTACAAATTTTCACGAATCTAAACTCAACGTGTTCACAAGCGACAAGTGAGAAGTGCATAAGTAGTAGTGCATTAATAGATATACCGGTACTTGACAGTTTCTTAAATTAAAAATGAACTTTAAACAGAAGCCTTTTATATCGGTGAGTTATTTTGATGGAATGGCCTATGTCCTATTTTTAACTTTATCGTTAATATCGACCGATACCATGCCGCTAATATTGTGCATCCCTAATTACTTCTAATGTCAGTTTATTATTACTGTGCTGCAATTACAACTGGCAGGGCACTAGTTTATGAAATTACAGTAGTCCCTCGCTACTTCGCAGTTCGTTTTTCGCGGACTCGCTCTATTGCGGTTTTTCAAAATAAGATTGGGCGTGACACGCAATTGACTGATTGATGGATGAGCTGCACAATGGAATTTTGCATGGAATTTTTTATAAAAAAAAACATTTTAAATTATTTAGCACCTGCTGCATCTGTGTGCAGCCCACAGCTTGCAGGAGAAGCGTCCTCCTGCAGCATGTCATATCGCCGCTCTGCAGTGGGCGTGGCCAAGAGCGCTGGCAAATGACAGAGTGCAGCCGGAGGCAGAGAAATGATTTCATTTCATTCAGTGCTCATTTAGAGCATTTAGAGTTTAGAAACATTGTTTAGAAAATTGCAATAGTGTGGGAAGGGTTTACAACACCTTTTTATATATATATATATATATATATATATATATATATAT